CTGAAGTAAACTTGGATTTGAGTTGAGTTGCAAGCTACCATATCTCCGAGTTTGAGTTGGGTGCACAGCGCCAAGTTATTCTCATCTGTTGCATGCATGTTTGAGTGTGAATTTGCAAGACTGATTTCAAAAGAGATCTTCGCTTAGAAACCCCAATCAATGTGATGAAGCACTTTGATGAAGTCCTCTTAGACGCATGTGCCATGTGGTCCTTTTCTTTTCGCAGGTATTGGTTCCAGACTCCAGAGGCGTGGACATTGGATGGTCGCTTCCGGTCACTGACGTACATGAGACCTCTGGCGATCTGGGCCATGCAGTTTGCGCTCAACCCGCCAGAGCGGACAGCAAGAGCGATTGCAAATCTCCGCAACGGTTTTGCAGCAGCCATTGCAGATTAAGATGCTGCGAAAATGCCGAAAAGCTCATGAGCAGATGCATCAGAAGATGGCTCATCGGAGGCTACAACGCCACAAAACGAATGCTCCCGGAACGATTCATCAGCATGATTAGACGAGTCTTGTTTCTCTTTTCTTTTTTTTTTTCTTTCGTCGTAGACCACCACTACCTTTGAGCCTCTTTTCCCTGCGGCGCAGATTTGTGCTTGGCACCAAGAGGTGAAAACAGACGGTGCAGCGCCAGCCAAAGAGAGGTGCGGGAGGCCGAACCTCCCACGAAAGCGGTGGTGGACAAATTCATCGCAAAAGTTTGCCTGTGAAAGGTAGTGGTGGTTTAAGCCACCAGTACACCCAGGCCTGGAGGTGGTCCACTGTGCGCCAAGCTTTTGCCGAACCGCCAGCGGCGCACTTTTTTCTTTTTTTGGCTGGCGCCGCCAGCCATTGTGGTCCGGTAGGCACGAGCCGTGGAATTTTCAGGTAGGCGACGAAACATTTTCTGCAAGGCTGGGGCAGTGTACTGGCGGACTAAACCACCAGTACTTCCTAAAGTTGTGCCCATTAACAAGCCACAATTTTAGGGAACGTACGGACCACTACAGAAGCGCCCAAATTCATCCGAATAGAAATGTTTCTWCTCTATTTTTTYCCRCGGAYGACAGCTGGGCCAAGTACTGGTGGTTTAAGGTCGAAACGATATGCACAAAAGAATGGAAGTACATGAAAATGCAGACCTGATTTCAGATCCAGCTGGAGCTAGATGAACGGATTTCTGAATTACCTACGGTCGGTCAGGTTGAGAACCATATCCCTTTGTCCTTCTAGGATATGCCCGCCTGGGGCGAGGTTTCACTAGCAAAGAGGATTGGATTAAGCGCCTGAATCTGGACGTGTTTCATGGAGAGATGCAGGATAACCGATAAATACCGATTTTCTGCACGTCTCCGCAAACACGTCCAGATTCAGGCATTCAATCCAATCCCCCCCTGGACACTTCTGCGCTCGAGCCAGCACCCAAAGAGACAGGATGAGCTGAGTCAGTGTATAGTACTGGATACCTTACCTTCTGCTGAACACTTGGCATATTAGAGACAAACCAAGATTCACCATAAAAAAAAATTGTATGATTTTTTTCACCATCATTCAATCTCACAGACATTCCACTTGCTGTCTTATAAATAGTTTAATGAATAACCTTGAGACTTTTTTCAGTTGGCTTTTGCATCTTGCTTGTGAGAAGGAGAGGGGAGGCCCTCAGGAAGTTTCAGCTATTTGCATGCCTCATAAGCTGTTGTTGCTTGCTTTCAAGATTAGAGAATATGTGATTACAAGGCCTTCCCCACAATGCGTCTCCATTTTTTTTCTTTTTTTGTTTTATTAATCGTCTTTCATTAATTTCCGTTCGAATAATGCTGGGAACCGGATCCAGCGTCCCTTACATCACATGTACGTTTTCAACGCTTCTCTCAGTTATGGCCTAGAGATCCTGAGACAGGAGCATTGATTGGTACCCGAATGTGCGGATCAACCACCGGTCCACCTCTGTTTCTTCCATCTGTTTTTTTTTTTTTTTTTTTTTTTTGGGGGGGGGGGGGGGGGGGGGGGGGGGGGGGGGAGTTCAGGGCCTTTTTTGTGGTCCTGGGCCCATTCTATTATGGGAGCAGGTGTCTGGTTCACTTTCCGTGACAAGTCACTGGCTAGTCATATGTAAATAAACTGAAAACATGCCAACGCTTCCTTTCAATAGGTCCTAGGGGGGCTGCCAGATTGACTTGAGAGGAAGGATCTTAGATGATGGACAAGGTGCTGGCGGACGTGCTCAGTGGCCTCTTCATCTGTCTTGTTGGGCTCTCTTTGCTTAACTGTGTTGCTGCGCCCCAGTTGACTGTGTCGTCGCTGCTGCCTGCCTCGAGACAAGGCACTGGCGGAGGTGTTCAGCGGCCTCTTCGTCCGTCTTCTTGGGCTCTCCCCGCTTAACTGTGTCGCCGACTCTGCCTGGAGGGATCTTCAAGGTATATGGGCTACCGTCTTCACCCGAACAGAATCCCCTGGTCATTATTGCTGCATTGGACAGAAAATTGCCCCTAGTACTGCTGTAATGACCAGGCGTTCTATACCGGGTGAAGACGGCAGTTCGTGCTGGCCTGCTCGGACTGCTGTTGACCCGGGAGGTCGTGACGCTCGCGCTTCTCCCTCTGGTTATCTTCCCTTTTTTCCTTGGCCGCAAACTTCCTCTACCTCGAAAACTTGTCGCCCCTGATGCTCACGCTTCTCCCCCTGGTTATCTTCCCTTTTTTCCTTGGGCGCAAACTTCCTCCACCTCGAAAACTTGTCGCCCCTGATGCTCGCTCTTCTCCCTCTGGTTATCTTTCCTTTTTCCCTTGGCTGCAAACTGCCTCTACCTCGAAAACTTGTCGCCCCCGATGCTCGCGCTTCTCTGTCTGGTTATCTTCCCTTTGTTCCTTGGCCGCAAAAACTTCCTCTACCTCGAAAACTTGTCGCCCCTGCAAAAATCCGCCTGACTGAGTGGGTTGGGTCTATATCGTATGTCAAATGGTGCCAGTGGTTCCATTTGAGGTATTTGTTGTTGACGTGTGCAACTTTTCCTTTTAGAATCCCTGTCGAACTTCTCATGTTTGTTAATGAAGTGGATTTTCTCCCTTTCGAACTTCTCGTGTTGTAAATTTTTCAGTTCCTTTTTTTGAACGCTTGCCAGTTTTTGGATATTTTATTATTTTGCCAGTTGCGATGGATTTCTGTCTCCAGTCGGTATTAGTAACGTCTTCAGCCAACACAGGCGTGAGTGCGCTTGTGAGTGCGCGTGTGAGTGGGTTGCGTGTGGTGTGTGGGAGAGTGTTGACTTCAGAGTTTAGACACTTCTGTTACCCGATGGGGGGGGGGGGAAGATGAAAAGGGAGGCACAGGTACTGGGCAAATGCTCGGTCCTTGTGTTAGCCGGGCCCCCACATCTGTTAAAATTGGAACGATACAGAGAAGATTAGCATGGGCCCTGCGCAAGGATGACACGCATAAATCGAGAGATGGTCCAAATTACAAAAAAAAAAAAAAAAAAAAAAAAAAAAAAAAAAAAANAAGAAGAAGAAGAAGAAGAAGCTCGGTCCTTGTGTTAGCCGGGGCCCCACCAGCGGCCCCAATCCTGCACCCTTAAACGCTACGAGAGCAAAGGGGCAAACTTGCGGGTACCTCCCCCCCACCGAGAGAGGTAACCTTCCTTCACCGAAGAGAGGTAGACAGCTATGCTTGCAGGGGTCCCCTGTATACCCTTCGGAGTAGTGGTAGGTCGTAAAAGGAAAAAGATATGTTCCATGACACGGCACAGAACGCCAGTTAAAATATGTGAGGTGAGAGAACATACTTATAGCTGTCCCCCAATGAGGAGAAGACCAAAAAAAAAAAAAAAAAAAAAAAAAAAAAAAAAAAAAATCTCGATCGGTACGAGTCTGCTTCTCTCTTTAGGGTCCCCTTTTTTTTTCTTTCTTTTTTTTATCAATTTGGTTCTTTGGTGCACCTCCGTGTCCAGGTTGCAGTTTTTCCATAGTGTGGCTTCATTCTTTTTTCCCTTGTTTATTTATCTTTTTAGGTGTGGCTTTCCTGATGATGCTGAACCAGCTCTTCTATGCAGTGGTAGGGTCACCGTGGTAACGAGCATGTTAAACCACCGGTCCTTCCGAGCCTCTTTTCTTTTTTTTTTTTTTTTTTTTTTTGTACACTTATTCTTCTCTCTTTTTCACCAATGTATTTATGACCCAGCCCCGGCCCTTCCTGCATTAAATTTGTGTGTGGAAGGGACGGAGATGGGACGGACTTTTTTTTTTTTTTTTTTTTTTTTTTTTGGAAAGTTTCAATGTATTACACAAGAAAGCACTGGGACGAGGCCGGGGACCTCACAATTCAACCCGGAGTTATCCTGGCAGCCTCAGCCAGTTTCGCATACGAGCTAGAGCTCGAAAATCCACCTGCTGCTCAAGAGCTATCAAAAACAATACTGCTGGAAACCGGGTCCAGCGTCCCATGCCAACTCCAAAGTAGACTTTCCAAAATTAAATCTTTGAAGCACTAGTAAAAAAAGGACTGCAATTGTAGTCGGAAATTGCTTGACCCGAAAAATTGAAAACTTGAAGCACACCAGAGGGGACCCAACAATCGTTAGCATAAAGAATTGTGGCTGTTGGGCTAATCGGTCAAGTTCAGAACCAAGCTCTAATCAATCGTGTGTATCCGACAACCATTTGCAAATTTCTATCTTCCCTTCAACATTGAGCGATGCCAGCCTCCCGTCCTTAGCCCAGGTCTTCTGAAACCTGACCATATTCATTATTTGGCCATCTGCTCGTATAATCCTTCTGATTCCTTGTCTTACTAGTTGTTGTTGCTGTTGCAGCGGGGTTCCTTCTCCTCTGAATACCCTGGCATTTCTCGCCTTCCAGATAACTTCCATTAGGACCCCTCTGCAGCAAAGGGCCATATAGCCCCAGTCACTTGCGTACTGTAGACCCTGCGGAAGAATACCCATGAACATCCAAAAATCTGACCATTCCAACGCTCCTCTTGTAAGTGCCGTCCAATGGTGTTTCCACCAAATAAGGAGCTCATCTGTCAGTGGGCAGCAAAGCCATAAATGGGTTGCGTTTTCCCAACCCCAGTTGCATCTCAAGCATGTCGTGGAAATCTCCATACCTCTTGAGGACAGCCACATTGCAGTGGCAGTCACCAATAGAGATTGGAGCCACATTATACTTGCGTGCTTTTGCACTGGGGTCTTACTTAGTGCCTTCCAAAGGCTCGGCAGGCCCAGTTCTGTAACTTCACCTACCAGGTGGGACTCTGCTCGGTGCAGCACCAAGTTATAGTTTTTTTCTTCAGTCTGCCTTGTTGGCTCAGGACTCCCACCGAGCCTCTTTTCCACGACGTGGACTTTCACCTTTCCTTCCGACCCTCTTTTTCGCGGTGCGGACTTTCACTGCATGCCAATTCCGGCCGAACTGGCGTGGAGCACAATTTGCCTGGCGACACCAGCTACGTCTGTCCGGTGCGCCTGACCCGCATTCATAGGCTCGTTGTTTCTAAAACTAAAACCAAAAAAAAAGAAAAAGAAAACTGACGATTTGTTGTCGTTTCCTCCAGCCTATCACGGCAGGAGGGCACGCCTGACATCACTGAGGGGACGTTTTGTCCCCTTAGGACACTACCCACAGCCAGATGTTTTTTTTCTTGTCTTTTTCTCTCCTCTTTTGCCCGTACTTCGTTTTTCTGGGTCTGCCCTATGTGTTCTCGTTCTTTATTTTGTCAGAATCCTTTTCCACCCGCCAAGTGGCGGGCCTCATAAGTTTGTGTTTTTTCTTTTAGCTCTTTTTTTTTTTTTTTTTTTTTTTTTTTTTTTGGGTGATCACAACTGTTTATATTCTTCTCTGCACTTCTATTTGTTTTACCTTCCACTTACCTACTCCTAAGACTATCTAGAGGGGACCCCTTGACTCTTTTCTTTTTTTTGTCTTTTTTTCAAAGCTCGCACTTTAGCTTTCATTGTCTGGCCGTGTTTGGTGTTTTCACATCTGGTGTCCGCCCATCCATTGCACCTCTTTGATTTTTGAGGTCCACCAGTCCTTTTCCCCAAAGCTCTACTGGGCCTCTGCCGAAGGGCACAGGCCCGGGTGCAGTTTACTGCAATAGCAGGGACAGGCAGAGGCATGAACTGGTGGCCGGCTCATTGGAACAAAATAGCTGGGGAAGGTGGGTTTGTGAGCAGTGTCAGTGAATGAGGTCGAGAATAGGGAAGGCCGCGTGATCAGGAACAGGGAAGAGCAGAGATTTCTGGCTTTGTCTCAGCACCGATGGGCTCTGGACAGGAATGGCGCAAGCCTTCTGATTGGTTCAGCTCGCACATTGCTCGTATATCTCGGCTACTTGGATCCGTGTTGTTTTTTTTTACGTTCATGTAACCACTGAGGACACTGGGACTTCCCTACATGTATCCCACTGAATTATGGCCAACTGTGGATGTATATGACCTCAATTATGTCCAGAGCACCAGAGCTGAGTAGAAAAAGTCCAAATGTGAGTAGGCCACTGATGGACAGGGAGGGCTACTTTCTGCTATCAACGGTTAAAGGCTTTGGAAGCGGGTTGGTTTCGTGCGCTGAATATTGTTTCAATGGCGTCGTCTGACTGCCTTCTGAGTTCTTATCATCAGTCCTGAACAAATGGCGGCTTCGGTCCAACGCAGCCCTCGTGGCCGAATGGTACTCTTCGAGTTTGCTGAATAGTTTCCCAATGACGTCGTCCGACTTTCCTCCGAGTTTTGATCAGCAGTCCTGAATAAATGGCGGCTTTGGGTGTAACGCAGCCCACTCTGCTGAATGGTACACCCCTACGACTGTTGATAAACCGGCCCCAGTTCGAATCCTGAACCAGTAATAAAATCGAAACAATGGCGGCGATGTCAGGTTTTGAGTTTGAAAAGGTTAAAAAAAAAAGTTAAAAACACAACATCGCACTTTCATCACGGCCGCAGGTTCAAAGGCAAAAAGAACACGAAATGGCAATTTCGTTGTGGCCCCAGTTTGAATCAGCACTTGCATGGCGTGGAAAGTCCCAGGCCCATGCCACCCCGTGTCATCCCAGGCCGTCCCAGGCCCTCTACCAGGCCCTCTACCGCCTCCCTTCCTAGCCCGAAAACAATGCACCCCTGCCAGCACCCTCACTACGTGTGGCATACTGCGTAGCCACACGGGCCTGCAGGGCTCGTCCCGCATTCTCAGCTTAAAAGCCTAGAAAATAAGGCTTACAGGCCCCATGTCCTTTCAGCCTGAAACTGAAAACGAGGGCCTGCAGGCCCTATTTCGTTTTCAGCCTATAACAGGGCTTTTCAGCCCTGAGGCTTTTCAGCCTGAAACAGAGGGTCACTTTCGGGCCCTCATAAGATCGACCTACCCTAAGACTCAGGCACAAAACCAGGGTTTTGGGAACAGGCTATTTCTGGCCTGTTACCCACGACAGCCTTGAGCAGGAGCTGCAGCGGCAGCCCCTGACTGCCTTCGGCATTGGCAAGAGCAGCCTCCTGGACTGCCTCGCCTGCAGCCAGGAGGTACCCGAGTAGTACATAGGAAGTTCCCATGCACTTCACGGGTAGGTAGTTGGACAGTAGGACGAGTAGTCTTCAGGATTCAGCCGCAGCACTCAGGAGGAGCGCTGGCAGTAGKAGTTAGCGCTAGCAGTAGTCTTCAGCGCTGGGCGCTCATAGCTGTAGTAGTAGTCTTCAGCGCAGGGCGCTAGTAGCTGGTAGTGGTAGCGTTGGAGAGAGATGGCTGG